TTTGAAATTGAGCTTTCTCGAATAATTGACTTTTCTGAGGCGGGCAGATGGCTTAAAATAGCTTTTCTACATCATTCATGCAGGTCTAAACACTAGGAGCTAAAAGTAGAATAAAATGTGGAAAAATGATCCAATAAACACTAGAACTTTGGCCTAATGATTTTATCTGACTCTGTCGAATGCAATTACTTTCAACAGTTCAATAGAAAAAGGATTTAAAAGGGTGTTTATAAAAATTCTAGTACTGCGTCTTCCTAGACATGACGTTTCGAATCTTGCAGTTTTACGTCATAAATCGAGTTTTTACTCTTTTGACAAAAGTTACTGTATGAAATAAATATTTCTTACTATATTCTCAAAGAGAAATCTCTATCATCATCATCATTATACTTTGTTCGAACACAAAAGACGTCCACGACAAGATAAGCTTCAACGATTGGAATTTTCTGGTGAAGAGTTTTAGAATGCACTGATCAATTTGGAACATCTGCTAAACGATCAGTCAATGAAAGACTTACGCCGTTACTGGTGACAGATACACTCGAAGTTGAATAGTTGTACATCGAGATTTTAAGCGGCAAATTTATTGTTATAAATGAATCATCAGTATTAATATTACCGAACACGCCGATAGCATTAGCAAGCTGCACAGCAGGAGCCATGCTGCAAACACCACCCGAGCAACTTGTATAGTTAGAGGTACACATATGACCAAATGAACCACAGTTATTAAAGTCGATTTGGGTGTTGACACAAAGTCCCGATGGAGCTCGTGAATAGCCAGTAGCACAGGATACTGTTGCTGAAATTTCAATTCTTGGTTACATGAAAAAGCTTAGGATATTCCAGTTTTTTCTCTCTTCTCCGCGGAAATGAAATTTTTTTAGGATTATAGCACTATCTACGATTCGTAGGGTGTGGGTGTGGGTGTGCACTCTAAAAAAAACGGTTTATTACAGAACGTGTACGCGGAGGAAGAACTTTTGAGGTTGCGTACAAACCCATTGAACTTAAAAAGGGTTTCGCAAACTTGTTCAAATCTGCTTTAGATTTGGTAAGTTTGTACGAACGCTCAAAGCTTCTTCCTCCCGGTGCAGGTTCTGTAATAAACCTATTTTTATAGTGTGGGCTGTGAGGTACAGGTGCGGGATGTGTGTATAGATGGGTGTGAGTGTGAGTGTGGAACTCACATCCACACTCTACACCTCACTACGACATCTTGAGACATTTTACCCTAACTTTTTCCTTGTACTTACTGGTAGTCACACTGGTCGTTGCTGAAAAAGAATAGGAATAGGCATTTTCATGCTTATACGATAGAAGAATGAATAACTCACATGTTGTTTCTGTGCTGGTAGTCGATATTGATGCTATCAATCGAGAACATATGATAGAAATCCTGATGCAAAAAAGAATTGCTTACTTGTGGAACTGCTCGTGCTGCTGCTGCTTGTCGCTGTAGAAGAAAAAAAATGAACTTGTCGTGCGTAAAGAAGTAGTAACTTACTTGCTGTGGTTGTGGTCATCATTATTGTTGAGACTGTTGTGGCCGTAGTTTCTTTTCTGATGAGAAGACCCATGAGTAAGGCAGCGAGACCAAATAGAATCAGTAGAAAAGCGAGCAGCGAGCCAACGAAACAGGAAGTTGAGCGCGGAAGATGTCGCTTACGAAGAACACATGATTGTTTATCTATTTCTTTGTGATTGTCTTCAATTTTGTCTGGTTTTGAATTCAAAGCTGATTCATTCTGATCATACTTAGATTTTTCACGTTGCTCTTCTCGTATTTGTGCGGTTTTCTTCAGGTAGGAAGAAAAAGACGGTCTTAATGAGTTAGATGACGTTTCAGTTTTGTCAATTGCATTAAATGACATAATGAATGCAGAGTTCTGCATGAAGAGAGAGAAAGCACAGATGAAGAAGATAACCGTCATAATGAAGTCAAACTTACTCCAGACAAATGATCAGGTTTATCATTTGTTAATGTTCGTCTTCTTCGATAAGACCTAACCTCTACATTAGGCTCTAAATATCGTTGTCAAATAATCTTTCTCGTACGAACTTGATCGGAAAGGGATGAAAGTATTCTCATTTTATCACCGTTAAACGTAGATGTTGAAGTTATATTTTCAACAGTCCTATTTTCTCCTATTTCCTAGAGAGAAATTATGATGGTATGTATTAAACATATGGAAATCAGTCGACTTTTTCCTTGACTAGAAGTTTTCGGATAAATTTTTGGTTACAAATCTAACCCAGAACTATCAAGGGTTTCATCTGCTACATGTTAGTATTGTCAAACGATGTAACAACGTTTTCTTTACAAAATAAGACATTGTGCAACGTATGATTGGTTCACTATGTGTATCAGTTCCGTCAAATATGAATTTTGGATGGGTCATAACTCACTGAAGAGAAGTCGTACAGAAACCAGGAACATCTCACATTTTTTGTTCTATTTTCTGCCAACATAATAGAGAAGAGTTAGTTTTTTCGTAATTTTTACAGTATTCTAGGAAACCAAGAATACCTAGAAAATCTCCTCATTTGAAGTTGCTTCAAGTTTAATGTAACGATTGAGCAGCTGTTGCAGATAGGGTGTGAGTGTGGTTATCAAAAAGAACTCAAGCTGATTGAAGGAAGCAGGTCAACAGACAACTATGAGAGCTATTCATGATCTTAGAATATTATCTCTTAATGAATTATTATGGACAAAACCGTATTTTACTCGTGAAAGACTAGTTGACCGACTAATGAGACTTTCAACAAGATCCTATTTTTTCATCAAAAGTCGCTTGGAAATGTTGAGAATTTGAGTTCGCCGCTAAAAAACATGATGGACTACAAAATATAATAGGTTTGGACATTATAGAAGAGTTTCACTGCTCAAGTTTTGTTGTGGTTCTCGTTCGAGTAAGGGATAAAAAATATTCCTTATATTGAAGAACTGTAAAATTATGTTTTAAAACGTGTTTCATTGAGATATTTTTGCATTTCGTTGTTCAAGTAGGATTATTAACTGAAATAAAAACAAAACTATGTTTCTATTTGGCACAGTATTATCTGAAGAAGATTATGTTGTAGGAGTGACTTTGCGTGTTGGGTGAGCAATTAGTCTGTTGACATGCGCTAGAGCGTAGGGGTGGACCATTTAATTTAACGGGAGTTAATTAATGACATTAATTAATGTATTTCATTAACCATTAATATTAATGTTAATGTTTTTCATTAATCATTAATATTAATGGTTAATGTTTTCCTCTAAAAACTTAATTCATTAATATTAATGTTAATGTTTTCATTAATATTA